CGCCAGATGCATCCACGAGCAGCCCGATGCCGCTGAGCTCCAGCAGAAGAGCTGAAGTTACTGGGAGGACTGGGAGGGTCCTGATGCCCCAGTGCCTGCCAGGCACCTTGAGGCATTCAGAGCAGGGGACAGCTTTGGAAGCGTGCCTCCTGCTGGTGTTGGCAAGGACAGGTGTCAGGAGCCAGGCAAGGGGTGTCTGGCGAGCGGTGGTGGGCAGAGAACTTGTCTCTTGTTATTAATTTACTGTTTCTTGGCTTTGCATCAGATTTCGGTTTCAAGCCAGGGTTTGCCAATTCGCCTTTTCCATTTTGTTCCAGTGGTCTGCAACAGCCATGATGGAGCAGGGGGGGCTTGGGGTGCTGCCTCTGCCTCCTCCCACGATGTCTTGATGCCACCAGTGCAGGGGGCTCAGCCTGCCCACCCGTGCTGGAGCAGCAATGTGTACGCACAAACACCTTTCCTTTTTGCCAAACTTTGCAAAGAGCTGTCTGGATTCACTGTTCCATAAAAAAGGGCCTCACCCAGTGGTTGTTTCTGCCCTTCTGACATGGGCTGACTTTCGATGTGGCTTTGTGCAGCAGTTGGGGCTGTCCTCGGTCCCTGGGCCCACAGACACCACCGGCTCGGTGGTATTGGGATGTCGGTACCAGATGCACAGCGTCTTCTTGACTCCTAAGGATGCTCTGGGAAACCCCCCTGGGCCGAAGCAGCTGCTGTTCAGTCTGCTCCTGCTGATGAGCCCGAGCTCCTCGTTGTGGCTCTGCCAGCCCTGCATCACCCCCACAGCCCCAAACTGTCCCCCGGCGCTTCTGCTCCCCAAAAGCCCCACCTAAGGATGCTCTGGGAAACCCCCCTGGGCCGAAGCAGCTGCTGTTCAGTCTGCTCCTGCTGATGAGCCCGAGCTCCTCGTTGTGGCTCTGCCAGCCCTGCATCACCCCCACAGCCCCAAACTGTCCCCCGGCGCTTCTGCTCCCCAAAAGCCCCAGCCCCCCGTGCCCAGACCCCGCAACCTTTAGCCTGGGGACACGTCCTGAGCTCGGACCCCATCACCGCCTTCGCCACGGCCCCTCGGAGCCAGCGGAGCCGCAGCCCG